GATTTTACTTTTACTGAAAATACAGTTAATATCACGAAAAGTTTAACTGCAATACACGTACATTAGCTGTAATTAAAAATTTTCATTAAGTTAAAAATTAACCCTAATAATAAACTTCAGTCTTTGATACTGTCAGTAGGAAAAACAATCTTGTATCATTTCTTCAGATTTACACAATGTAGTCACCGTGGTCAGCATCACGGAAACCAGCAGATTACCATGAACAGGGGCGGGGGCAATTTGACTATGTCGTGTAAATCCGAAAAGAGGCCGGAAACCGTTTTCAATACAGCTACACAGTTATTAACACTTATCGCGAATTCACTACCGCTGCTACATGTGCAGTAAGTTGTCAAAAAGTAAAAAAATAAAAAGTAAATAAACGAAAGTTTGTAACCGCTGTAATAACTGTCTTCCTTACAGTAACATCGTGGCGTCAATTCTTGTACCCTTGTTTTCATGAAGTTAGTGGTGGGGAAGATGATACGCATTTCTATGTTATCAGCCAGGAGTGGCAGATTTTTTAAAAGCAGAATCGGCAGCAGCCATTTAACAAGCACTGGCAATATTCTCCTGTTTCCGTCCCACTCATTTATCAGAGTGGCACTCATATATCAACCAAAGAAGGATCAAACGTTGAGTATCCCAGTTCAGGACTCGAATCCAGGATTCCTCGTTTCCGAGTCCGATGATCAGAGGGCTGAGGTACCACGGTCTGAAGCAACGCATGGAAAATTCTTTGGTGAAAAGAATTCGCGATAAAGACAAAAATTGTTCGCCGCGTGAATCGAACCCGGCCATTCCGGAGCTCGAGTTAGAAACTGGCCTCTTACGAAAGGTGCAACCACGCCAAGTGGTAATACTTACTAACGAAGCAGTCAAAACTGTAAGACAAGCATGACTAATACATGTTGATAATTATTATTATCGCTTAGCATAACAGTAATAATATTTATATCGTTAACAATTCTGTCAAAACAAAATTTCATGGCGCACTGTACCGCCCATTGCTCTCCGTTGTCAAGGGCAGCCATTTAAATAAGCGATGGCTACGGCTATATGGCATGAAGTTACAGATACATGTCAATCCAATGGATCGTGGATAAACTCCAAAACGGTGGGAGAAAACAGCCAAAAAAGCGACAGAAACAAAAAGAGACTGCGAAAAAAGTTCTGCCCGAATTAAACACATGGTGAACCAGGGTCATGCCGTTGACAGAAAAAGCATGAAAGGGTTGTGGTGCGAAAGAAAGAGACAGAAGAAGAAGATCAAAGTGTTCTTGATGCAAGTATGAGAATATTCGAATAAAGAAACTGAGGACTAATCAGTAATCTGATGAAATCTACAAAGGAGCTAGAGAGGAAGCGAAGAAAGAATAGATGGAAAGTCGTCAGATTGAATTACGGCATGTGCCAATAATTCGTCGATCACTGCACAGTAGACAACGTAATTGCTAACACTGTCCAATGTGTTACTTTACAACATGTTCCATGAAGATGCATGCAGTTCGCCCCGAAACGTTGGGATTGATTATAATAAAATTTGTGCGGATTATACCCTTTGGAGACCGTGATGATCAAGAACTTTCCACCGGCACAAAAATTCAAGTATATATATAATTTGAAACGAACATTAAAATAGCCACGAAAACACCTGAAATGAAAATGGAAAAATGAAGGGAGCTGCGTACGTACCTATACCAATTCGTCAACGACATCATAATGTACAACGAAGCCAAAAAGAACATCGTATGGAAAAATGAATAGCTGTAAGTGACCGCCTCGGTCTCGTTATCGATCACGCGAGTGCCTTCCTCAGAGTTGTACGTTGCAGTCGCTCCTGCAGAAATTCGCTCTTAAATATAACCAGAAAGTACATACAATACATGATCTCAAGCAGCGTCATTAGACGATCACTGATTTCTCCTGGATCGAAAGAGACAAAAGATTAAGTAGCAACTTACCGTTGTTAATCAGCGTTGTTTCACTGGAGCCTGTGAGCTTGTTCGTCGACTGACTACCGGTTCGGATACTAAACAAAGGGTTCTAGCAGATAAGAAAGTCAACTGACTGTTTTTAGCATTGAAAATTTAAAAGTAACATATTTGCAATAAGCAACAATCTAAACGGCAATACAACAGAAGCAAACAAAACAGAATCGTTTCGCTTGATGGTGCAGAGAATCTACACTTGTCACCAGATCTCAAGACTATACTGATATTGAAAATGCAGAAATTAGCAAACTGCTACAGTATGATCGAAAGAGGAACATCATGGAGGTTCCCTGTTAATTGCGAACTCTGCCACAGATATGTTCTTTCGAATTTGCAATTTAACGCTATACTGAAAGCTGTTGTGCGGAAGAGTGATGACATAAAAAACAAAAGTCTGACTGCAGAAAGGACGCACGGATCGGGCAACGTGTATCAATACCGTTATCTAAAAGATCTAATCACAAGCAGTCAAGATTTCTGAACAACGGCCACATCACGAAAGTATCCGCAATCAGCGCCATCGTAACGAGGTATCATACTTGTTCATTTTCTTACGAGACAAGCGGAAAAATAGGAAAGTTAGTCACCTTTGACATGTCGATCTTCATTTTCATTTTTGGGACATTTTAGCGCCCTTCTTTTCATTAAGTTCAAGGAGCCACGCTGATCTCCGTTTCAGTGACATCAGTCAGGAGTGTCTCATGCTAAATGTAGAGTCCATAGCTCCTGTGTGGCAAGCGTAGCGTGAAGAGTCGTTTCCTTCCTACAGTACGATACTCGTTTATCAAACTCCGAAGAAAACGGGACGAATTACACCGATCGAGTCTTAAACTTGGGGCCTTCCGGTTCTGAGTTCGACGCCATACCGACTGAGCAACTACAATCGGAAGCAATGTGTGGTAAATTCCTTGCTAAACGACACTGATGAATAAGATAAAGGTTGCTTTCGAGCGAAATCGAACCTGGCACCTGCGGAGTTCGAAGAAGACCTCTTAGATAACACTGAAGCAAGCAGAGGGGGGAGAAGGTGAACGAAACATAAGGTTTCCAGCGTTTCAGCAGTACAGTTTTGAAAGCCAACATGCCTCTGGTCCGCAACGCACATTGTGATTAGTGTAGAAAAATATCAGTTTTTGCAAAAGCAATGAAGGTTGTGATTGAAGTCGCAAAGGCGAAGTAAACATTTCGAAATGGTCAAGGATATTAGGAAAAGAACTGAATAATGTCTGTATCGACTGGGTGTTGGTATCGTTTACACTTCAATGATTACACTTACTGACTCGTCGCTTATGAAGCGTGTGGTACAATATGGATGTCTGTTTGCAAATCATTAAGCAGGAGTACCTCGTGGATTCCAATTCCGGATTTTTTTGTGATCA